CCCTGTACGTATCATACCTAAGTTATTAATTATATTTAAGAATTGAAAGAACGCGATGTAAATATATATAACAGACATTTTTTTAACGCAATCAACAAATATAATTCGTTCATTTTCTGTTTAACAATACGACTAAGAACTAACTAAGAACTTGTTACTTTGTTACTTTGCAATTAAAGGAAACACGGACGAAAGACCGTTTCATTTTCATTTTCATTTTTCATTTTTCATTTTTCATTTTCACGTTTTTAGCAATAACGTTCATATCGATCTAATCTCTTCTACGTACAAACACGCGGTGAACATTTTTTGGATCTGGTGCTGCGTTCGGATATTAATATACTGTTGCAACAACGACGAGTACTTTGTTCGATTTTAGCAAGCAAACAAATACTACAGTCGTTTCATAACTTTAAAACTAGTTTTCTTACTAGCTAAAGCTTCGGTGCGTGCATATACATTTTCGGAACTACGTTTAATAATATCTATGTATTCGCTCGATGTTTGAAAGTCACGTTGGCTCGTTTCGTCGTACGAATAACAATCCGATTTCTGTGCTGTTTCTATCAATTCTCCTGTTCCCAGCTAAAATATAAAAAGACGACGTTATTACATTCGACTCCCGATTCGATGACGATCGATAACGTTTCGAATCGAAATTCCCTACGTAAATCCACCCTACGATATTTACCGTTGATTCTTTGGCGTTGTTGCGGCCCCAATTTTTAGAGTAGTCTAGTAGTACAGAATCTACTCGATCTTTCCTAGATACAGAGTAAAAAGAGACAACTTAGTTTATCGATATATTTCTCTCTCATTTTTACATCTTATTTCTTCGTCGCGTATATATACTTGTGTGTATATATACTTTACCGACACGTACTCACTTCGATTCAGAATTATATCGTTTCCGCGGTGTAAGATACTTGGATGAAAGATATTCTTCCGGGTAACTACAAATAGAATTCGTCCTTTGTTTCTTTTCAGTTTCTTCGTAAGCGAAAGATATTATGTCGTCCAAAGACAAACAGGATTTGGTAAAATGTTCTTTACTACACATCGACGGTTCTGTCGCGATCGAGGTATATTCGTGGTCGCTAAAACTTTTGTCGTTAGGTGCCAATTGCCGTGGTTTATCACCATCTTCCGGAGCTTTATCTTCTTCTACATCATTGCGATCTTCCCTATCGTGCCTTCCATTCTTTAAAAAAGTATCGTTCACATCATCCACATCACTGATATTTATCAAAATATCATTGACAAACGAAATAGGTTCTACGGTTTCATCTATTTTAACTACGTTATTCACATCGCTTGAAACGTCATCCCCGTTTTGACTGCTGGCAAGTGCCATTTCGCAGCTACTTATGGAATTTGAGCTTCGATCTCTCGTACTCGCAGAACCTTCGAAACTATCCGTAACGTTGGTCGACTTTGACACCGAAGTCGGTATCGTGATCTCAATGTTATTTTCCAACGCACTTTCGTCGTTATTCGTTCGAGAAGTGTCTTCGATGTTCGTTATATCGTTCAATATAGCATTGTTTAAAGTTTCATTGCTACTATTGCTCGATCGATCTTTCACCAGTACCAACGTCTTGTTGTCGTCTATGGCACTTTCCTCCGACTTACAAATTCGTTTCGATCGACTACCTAAAACGAGGGATTGCACGGGTTTGTCCAAACCTTGGTCCAAAGAAGAGCCAAGAGAAGATTTTATACTTTTCAGTTGGCACATGGATCGCGAAGATCGGTGACATTTTTCAAAAATTATTTTTCGTATCGGTGGCGTTATACTACTTTGTTTACCGCCATTTCCAACTTCGATGTCTAAAGACGAAGTGGAATACGTCCGTTTCGAATTGTCCAAGCTGCGAAGAGAAGAAAGTTTTCAGCGTCAGTTTTTACGAAGATTTTCAAAGACAATTTTACAAGTCGTATCGATCAATTGAAATACAAAAAAAGTAACAAATACAACGTACTGAGATTGACTTGGTTTAATATTTATCAAAGTGGCAAGATTTGGAAGTGTCGCTCTCAAGTCTGTCGTTGGAAGGCCGCAGTACCACCTTAATTGAGCTATATTTTTATTTAGCAAGTAAACAGCATAACGGAACTGTAGTTTGTCTTTACTTCGGGCAAACAGAGGAAATCTGAAAGATACGATTATATCGGGTAAACGAAATCATCGGGCGAACGAACGAGTAAAATAAACTCACTGAGTTGTAAACTCTACTCACTGTCTTTCGTTGTCGGGTAAATTTTCTGTAATATGATCTATAATTTTGCTACGCGACCCGTAGTGTACGATGGGATATCTAGTAGGTATGTTGAGAAAATTGGCAATCATTTGCGTGGTATGTGCAACGAATCCCAATGCCACAGCAACTACAGTGTCGTTCGACAATTCTAAATCTTCGCTATCTGGTAAATGAACATCGTGTATTCTAAATTTTCCATTTCCACCCTGTGTGCGTGTGTGTTATATAAAATATTAATAAATATATTAATTCGTAACAAATCTATGAATCAACTTTTTCTTTTTTTTTTTTTC